GTGGGGGGGGGCGTGGCTGGTAAGTCGCATCATGTGATATCTGCAGTTGAAGCACCAAATTGCAGAGGTTGTCGCCTCCTCTGCCAAAACACAGCAACACCAGCCCCCTCTCCCCACAGGAACTGCCTATATTTGCAGCTCCTGGAGATCGTGACCACAGCTCTAACACTTAGTGATAAACGGGTTGAGAAATTCCGAGGTGCTCGGGCAAAATGGCGAAGGTGTTATCAAAATTGCTGTAGCTATGAGGCGGCCAAAAAGGCGATCTATGCTTCCGCAAGGCTCAACAGGAACATAGCACGGGTTTTAGCCTATAAAAGCCTGTCTTCAGGTACTTGCTCCCGTCAGTAGCTACTTCAACAGCGATAGCTCCGGCTCAAAAAGTCGTTGATAGCGCGCTGCTTTTTTGGCAAGTTCTCGAGCCCCAATGATTAACGTTGGAAATTTCAGGACTTGCTGATCTCGCGAACTTTTATTTCCTAGCAGGAGTCGCTTTCGCCAATCACTCAAAAAAGAACCCTCATTTCAACAAGGAAACGGCGAGACGCTTCAGAACCCCCGTGCCATGCGCTAAAATCCACCCCTCTACGGGGCAAGCGCCAAATTGAATGGATCATTACATATTCCTCTTTGCAGGATGTTTCTTTGTAAACACCTCGAAGACTTTGAACCGACTAGAGGTGATTCTCGAGTTACCCACGTACCTCTGAGTGCCAGGGTCAAATTGTAGCTTCCGCGCTTCACTTTGGACTAACCCCTTTTTAAACCAATCTCAGTCTAAATCCCCGCTAACAGTTGCAATTTGCGCCAGTGGTGAGATTTCGGGGAGAAAGAACTCAACAACCGGACTGGAAGTTGGCCTCAATTCCAGCTACGAAATTAATCATATCGGCGGTAGTGCAGCGGTAACGCCCTTACTAAGACCCGAAGTCGTTCGGTGTTTCACGACCTGCTGACCAATCAGCACACTGATCGTTCGAATCTAGAAAAGTAGTCCAAATACGTTACTTTAAAAGTTTTTTTTTTCTGTACGAGGAAGGTGAAAATGAGAAGATGAGGAGGAAAAAGAGGATGAAAGAAGTCTGACAAGAGGAGAAGCTCATTTCGAGAGATTAGACGAGATGACTGGCGGCGCCGAGTGCAACGGTGATATCTGGTAGTGCGAGATCCGTTGGCCGTCCTTGACCGTACGTTGTACCCGCACATCCGAAATGGATAAACAGCACCCGAAAGGCAACAACAACAGCGTTCACCTGTGAATCGGCAGCGATTATCCGACAATAAGGATAAAAGCGATTAATGCGCTTTCCACAACCTTGATGACGATGGTTATGACAGTCATTAGCACCTCGATGACTTGTTTCACACCGCGCTCGCTGGAGGTCGCCTGGGTGCTGAGGACAAGATAAAATGAGGTTGATGAGGTTCCTTAATTGGCCCTTTCATGACGCGCGCAACTCGGCATGAGCTGCTGAATCTTTCAAAAATCACTTTGGCTTAGGAAATGACATGTGAGACCTTCAGAACAATATTTAATGGAAAAGTAGCACCAGCTCTATAAATTGTTTGAAGAACAAGGGTGAAATGCGCTTTCAGAAACCTCCCCCTCTCTAGATGAAGGTGAAATTCAGTTGAACATCGGCAATTCAGAGAGAAGAGGAGCAAGGATGATGATCAGTTGAATTTCTCCCTCATCTAGGCAGGGGAGGATTTCATGCGCCCATTTCACCCTTCTCTGTAACCTCGGCATGTCAGTTGTAAGTTTAACAAATTTTCTTGTGCCTTACGAGGTTGTTCGGTGGAACCTTTATTAATGGCCTAACGTTTCGACTGAATCGTCGTCTTCAGAGGCCGTCGGTTCCACCCTTCGAGCGGAAAAGTCCGCTGCCACACAGAGCGCTGATCAGTTAGAAACTTAGTTAGAATGTGTTTGAACGAAGTTAGCAATTTTAACATCCACTAGTGAAGCAAACAGCGTAAAATGGTTTGGTTCTTCAAACTACAAAGCAGTTCGATGACGCGATGCACACCAAACTCCTCCCGACGTAGTGGCATCCTTAGCGGTTTGACTAACTTTGAAATCTGACGGGGACAAGCCAGAGAGGCAGCTCCAAGTCGATTTTTGTCCTCCTCCACTAGATCACGAGTGGCTACAGGAGAACCATAGCGAAAAAGGTCGTTGGGTTCGATCTAAAATAAGAGCCCTGAGCAATGCTCGTGGTATGAATTGACTTGCAACATAAGGTGCCGTCCGGCTGTATATGTATAGAATTCTCTCACTACTGCTATATACAGGACGCCATGACTGAGTGTCTTTCCAATGGTACTGAAATGTTTACTGAACCCAAAAGTGTGTATTATTGAACCATGAACCCGGCACATGACTTCGCATCGATTGAGGTAGACGTAAAGCGGGTGGAGCTCTGATTTCCCGAAATTTACCCTTTTGAAATGATTTTCGCAACCAGTACGAAATTTTTTGCGACCATCTCCTAATGCGCAGTACATGCCTTTTTCCAGAATCCGTTGTATGAGCGAGTATCAGCCTGAAGGGGTAAAAATGTGTTCTTATGGTGAACAAGTGGAGATTAGGCGGCAGCGGCGTTCGTTAAGCTGGCAGGAGGCGAAAACATGCCGTCTTAGCCAGCGATTCTTCCACTTCGTAAAACATTGTTTGGTCCCTTTTGATTGGAAAAGCTCGGAAATTTTAGTACAAAGAAACCTAGTGAGAATTACTGGCCCTTACAGATCAAAGTTACGTTCAAATGATTCTTCCCTCCTGAATGAACGCCAAATACGTGGCTTATTCCGAAGTAAAGGAGCGCTTTCAAGCCCTTCACCTTACCAAAAGTGATTGATCCCCTTTGAGTACTGTAGGTGTGCATTCACGGAATTCAGTCCAACTCTTCCTAGTGAAAGCGGGATGCTTCAGGGGACCTGTAGAACGTTAACCTACATACTAACTCGCTTCAGAGTACATGACTGGTAAATGACAGTCGAGTGATTTGTCTCGATTAGTTGATCAATCAATCACTTCACTGATATCTGTAAAGTTTCCGGCTCTGGCGGATTTAGGGCATATATCATTTACTTGGGTCGACGATCGCGCGCGGACGTCTATGCTATCCTTTCCATTGCCGATCAGATGGCCTACTTCCCCAGAGAATTTCCCCCAGAAAACATCAGGTCACGTCTCGTGCGTGTTTCGAAATGATAGATGCCTGTGAAAACGAGATGAAATCACACGATATTATGGCATTTATTAGCTGGAATCTTCTGGACCAATGAAAGATTCACAAGATTAAATGGAATGTTCTACAGTACCTCGAAACACAACGCAAAAGCACACACGCACATAGAAAAACACAGGCAACATAACGTACAATATTCGACCCTTAATGTTCGCCACTGGACGGGTTCCCCTCGCCGAGAGAAAGGCGTCAGCAGCTGAAAAATACGGTCCTCATCTAATGAAGAGCCGATGAAAGAGAATGAAAAATGAAGGACATTCAGATGAGCAATGAGTGTATGCGAAGAGAGTGAAAAAATCGATTATCGATCGCCTAGTGTTGACGGAGCCGGCGGATCCTTTTCTTCAACTTTCGGTTGTAGTAACCGCCATTCTCGTTGTTTGAGTACGACTCCTCTTCAACCATGGTGACGGAGGGTGCTCTATAAAGCGTTTATTAGAGATCTCCTACTCAACTGTGCTGGGTAATTGTTCCCACTCACAATTCTTGAAGGTTCTGGGTTGTGGTTTCTTCTTGCTTTGGTGCTGACACAACGTAATCCTCACGAGGTGCTGGTATTTTTCCATTTACATCGGCCATTACCACTTCAGTATCCTGACAGACACATGTTCCAGGTGTACCTGAAAGAGTCATTCAGCCATATGCCAAAAGACCTGGGCTAAAAGCCTGTGCAAAGAATCGCTCGACACTTACCAGCTGGTCCTTCTTCACCAGGCGGTCCTGCTGGTCCAGGCAATCCCATGGGTCCTGGAGCTCCTGGTGGTCCAGGCCAACCTTTCTCACCGGGTGTGCCAGCATAGCCATCTTCGCCGGGCATGCCGGCATTTCCTGGC